TGAACCATTTCAACAATTCTAATGTTTTCATTTTTGTCTGAACTATTTGCTTGATTTTACCCAACTTCATGAATTGGTTTGGTGTCCAAAAAATGCAGGGTTTTTTGTGTGAATTCTGTTTGCAAATATATATATATATATATATATATATATATCCCCACACAGAGAGAAAGAGAGAGCGAGAGACAGAGAATTCAAGGCTGACATTTGACATTCAGGGTACATTTACCCAGAAACTGAAAGATATAATTTCCAGATTGAGGACACATAACTGTGCTAATGCTACACTTGTGGTTGCTGCTGTGTAGGGCTATGTCTAGACTGCAAGCCTCTTTCGAAAGAGGCTCTTTCGAAAGATACTTTAGAAAGAGCCTCTTTCGAAAGAGAGCGTCTAGACTGCACGCGGAACTTTCGAAAGAGCAAGCCGCTTTTTCGAAAGAAAGCACCCAGTGAGTCTGGAAGCTCTCTTTCGAAGAAGCCCTATTTACATTGAAGAACGCCTTCTTTCGAAAGAGGAACTTTCGAAAGAAGGCGTTCTTCCTCGTGAAATGAGGTTTACTGCCATCGAAAGAAAAGCCGCGTTCTTTCGATTTAATTTCGAAAGAACGCGGCTTGAATCTGGACGCAGGTGAGGTTTTTTCGAAAAAAGGCTACTTTTTTCGAAAAAACCCCTGAGTCTGGACACAGCCTAGATGTGAAGGTAAACAATACTCAAGGGAGAGAGTATTGTAAATGCTGATTCTCAGCTTAGTCTTAATAATGTTAGGTCACTGAAAATTCCACAGCTCGGGTTCAGCTAGCCTACCCTTGCATTTTTTTTTCATATTTCTTCGTCTTCTCTCTTACCAAGGGCATTTGCCTGAGAAAAATTTGATTTAACTAGGCAGTTCAATTGGCCCTATTTAAACCAATGAGAATTTTGCCATTGATTTAAATAGGCCAGGATTTTTACCCCTGTTGTTTATAATGAAGACCCAGGAATCAAAAATGTTGGCTCTGTCAATAGCCTTAAGCAAGTCATTTCCTCTCTCTGGGTGGCTGTGTCTACACTGCACCCCTTTTCCAGAAAAGGGACGCAGATTAGACACTTTGGAATAGCAAAATCTGCGGGGGATTTAAATATTAACATGGCTGCCGCTTTTTTCCGGTTTGGGGATAAGCCGGAGAAAAGCGCCAGTCTAGACGTGATTCTCCGGAAAATAAACCCTTTTCCGGAGGATCTTTTATTCCTAATTTCAAGGAATTTAAATCCCCCGCGGATTTTGCTATTCCAAACTGTCTAATCTGCATCCCTTTTCCGGAAAAGGGGTGCAGTGTAGACATAGGTTTTTCCGGCTTGGAGATAAGCCGGAGAAAAGCGCCAGTCTAGACGTGATTCTCCGGAAAATAAAGCCTTTTCCGGAGGATCTTTTATTCCTAATTTCAAGGATTGGCCTCGAGTCTCCAGGAAATTAAAGAATAATTTTTTGTCAAAGATTTTGTCATGTGAATCTCATGTCACATCAAAACTGGTCAAACCTAGGCTGGCAAAGCTTGTTGAAGGAGGAAAGATGGTGGAAATGTGGAAGAAACAGCAAATCTCCTTTTGTGTATGATCATGGTGGTTTCTCTGTAACAATCAGCTGTGTGGCTATGCTCACACAGAAGGTGTTGTAAGAAGGAAGCGTGATAGATATTCTGAAATCGTAGAGTTCATGACTAATTGCAAAGTTGCATATTACGGGAGAGGCATGGCCTTTAAACTATCCAGGGAAATCTTAAAAGATCCTGGAACATCCATGTCACACTGGGGCCATGACACTGAGGAATCACCCCTACATACAGTTGTTTGTTGCCACTCTGCAAATACTGCTGGTCTATGATCTTGAAAATGAAATTTTGGCTTAAGAATCTAAGTTACAACCCCACTTCCTTACATATCACATCTTAATTTGGCTCTGACTACATTCAGATGTCTTCAGGGTTAGGGGAGGGAATTGGACACTTCTGGAAAAAGTATGGAGTTACATTTGGTTCAGAGGCTGTCTGAATTAATACTTATGATAGCTATGATTTTGTTCTTGTAACTTTCTCTACAATGGCCACTGTGCGGGGAAAGAGCTTTTTATTTTATATTGATATGCTTTTTTGTTTTCTTCTACGCACTCTCCAGTCAGATTATCCTAGATTTTCAGGGAAAAGAAAGTCTGTAGGAGAAATCTCCAGGTATCTCAATTTATAGCGGTCATAACCCTACTAGAGAGAAGCATAATATGCTTTTATGCTGCAAATGCCTTTTCTTCAGAGGATTTGTCTTACCTGATGCCAGAAGAGGTATTAATGCCAGTGCCAATATCTTTATTAGTTTCCATGGTGCCAGCAGGGAATGAGGATTTTGTGATGAAACCACCCCCTAGTATTTCTAACTCAAGGTGGCCTCTTAAACTAAGCTCAGCTTGTTCTCTTTTGGTGTCCTTTAGTCCTTCTATTATGGGAACTAATGAAGAACTTTTCTGTATGCACCCTCTCCACACCACTCGTGCTTTTATAGACCTCTATCATATCCCCCTCAGTCTCCTCTTTTCTAAGCTGAAAAGTCCCAGTCTCTTTAGCCTCGCTTCATATGAGGCCTGTTCCAAACCCCTGATCATTTTAGTTGCCCTCCCCTCTCCCACCCTCTCTTTTCCCCTCTCCCACCTCCTTTTCCCAGTCTCTCCAAGTTTTGTTCAATAAAGAGAGTTTCTATTTTTGAACACACATGTCCTTTATTTTGTACATCCAAAAGGGGGGGTTAGGGAGGGGTAAGTGGAAGGAGGTGTGGGAGGAATGGGATACGAGCCCCCGATGGGGAGGACTGGGGTGCCTCTGCGGGCTCCTTGGGGTGGAAGCTCTCCTGCAGCTCCCCAATTGACCCCCCCCCCAGATGGCAGCCTGTGGGAAGTGCAGCCGGGCCGATGGCCGAGTGCTGTGATGTGCCCAGTGTGGGCATTCAGGGCACCCCAAGCCAGGACTGCTTTGCTGTCCCTCATCTAGTTAGACAAGCAAGCAGAAAACCCCTGAGAACTGTCTGTCCGGGGTGGGGGTCGGGTCCCTTTAAGTACAGCCCTCGGCTAGCCTGAGACAGCAGCTCCACGCTCTAAGCCCTAACCTGATGCCCTGCCGGCACTGGTTCCGGCCAGCTTTAACTTCGGTTCAGGGTCCACTCAATGTGGACATGCCCGTTTGAATTAGCAAAATGCTAATTCGAACTAGTTTTTAGGTCTAGATGCACTAGTTCGAATTAGCTTAGTTCGAATTAACTAATTCGAATTAAGTTAGTTCAAATTAGTGCTGTAGTGTAGACATACCCTCTGTGCCTTGGTTTTCCCATCTGTAAAATGGAGATAAAAATAATCAATTAATATTTGCAGAGTTCTTTGATACCCTCAGATGGAACAGGGGCGGGGAACCTTTTCTGGGTCAAAGACTGTTGACCCACAGAAAAATCACACAAGTAAGAAGCAAAAAGACCTCACTGACATAGCTCCCTACTGAAAAGGAGAAAAACATTCTCCACTTTCCCCTCACACTGCAGAGCCTACGGGGGCCCCAGGCTGATAGATTTTGTGTGTTCCAGCCCTATGGGGAGATTGCAGGAGGTGGGGCTGGACACCAGCACAGGCTCCCCGATGCTCTCCAATGCTGGAGAAGGGAGCCCAGAGCCTCAAAGGCCAGATCTGGGCAAGCCCGGGGCAGTGTTTGGCCCCTGGGCCAGGTTCCCCACCCCTGAATTAAAGGCATATTTATTGGGCCAGCTCCCTCCTCCAGCCAGTAGTTATTCAAAACTCCCATGACTTCAGAAGGAATTTAATTTGACCAATGACTGTTGAGTTTGAGCCAGTGTTAAAGAAAACCTTCTTAACACGCTGCATTACTCTGGTTTCCTTACATTCCGGCTATGTTTACACTACAGAGGTTTTTTTGGAAAAATGGCAGTTTTTCTGAAAAAAACGTCACTTTCGTCCACACTGCAATTGCATTCCTTAAAAAAAAAATTGAAAGAACAGAGGGGGCTTTTCCAGCGTCGGTGAACCTCTTTCTACAAGGAAGAAGCCTTTTTCCAAAAGAGCTCTTTCACAAAGAGGCATGTGTGAACGGGGAAAAGGGAGTTCTCTTGAAATAAGAGGAAAGAGGAAAAAGCACAGGTGCCCTGGTGGCCACTCTGTCCATAATAATCACTGAAATGCGAGAGAGTGTTCATTCAGTGAAAGCAGATCGATTTTTTGATGCGCTTTGGCAGTGAGGACGCTGTCTTTTGGAAGACGTTTTTTCAGAAGATCTCTTCCAGAAAAGCTTCTTCCGAAAGGAACCTGCAGTCTAGACGTAACCTTAGTATCATCTGGACAGCCTCTGTTTAAAGCATTTAAGACAATGTGGCTGTGTCTACATTGGCACCCCTTTCTGGAAAAGGGATGCTAATGTAGACTTCGGAATTGCATATTCCACGGGGGATTTAAATATCTCCCTCGGTATTTGCATTTACAAGGCTGCCGCTTTTTTCCGGCTTGGGGATAAGCCGGAGAAAAGCACCAGTCTAGACGTGATTCTCCGGAAAATAAGCCCTTTTCTGGAGGATCTCTTATTCCTACTTGAAAGTAGGAATTACAAAGCGGCAGCCATGTTCATGCAAATGCCGCGGGGGATATTTAAATCCCCCGCGGAATTTGCAATTCCGAAGTCTACATTAGCATCCCTTTTCCGGAAAGGGGTGCCAATGTAGACACAGCCTGTCAGTTTAGCTCCTACTGCCCAGAATTAGACACTGGTGGCACACCCAATGGAATATGCTGGCATTCTGGTGTGTTGCAGGGAAAGGGAATCATGTTCCATTTTGTACTGGGGTATTCCACGGATATGAAAAAATTCGTTATTGAGCCAATTTTCTCTATGTTCACATCTACATTGTAGAAAACTACTATGCTGGATTGCAGTGAGACAGTCCATCCTCTCTTCTCTTGTTCCCCCTCCCCTCTTTTCCTCAGGTGGCAATCATTGTAACAGATGGACGCCCCCAAGATGGCGTGAAGGATGTATCCGCGAGGGCGAGATCCCTAGGCATTGAACTGTTTGCCATCGGGGTGGGTCGAGTGGACATGAACACTCTTCGGCAAATGGCCAGTGAGCCTCTGGATGAGCACGTGGACTATGTAGAGAGTTATAGCGTCATTGAGAAGATGACCACGAAGTTTCAAGAGGCCTTCTGTGGTAAGTCGTAAAGAGCAGGAAGAGGATCGGGGGCAGAACTTCCTCGGTAAACAGAGAGTACCCAGCACATGTGAAACATAATTACCAGAGTAAATCAGAACAGGAGTCCACGTAACCCAGTGTTGTACCCAACAGTGGCCATTACCAACTGCTTCAGAGGAAGGTGGAAGGTATTGATGAGGGGATAATTGAATAATCACCCCATCAAGGAAAACTCTTCCTAATCCCCAGTTATGAGCTTTAGGAACCAGGAGCTTCACATCCCTTCCATTTTTAAATGGTATTTAATGTAACTGTGGGTGTTTTATTACCTCTCTCAGCTATTTATTTTTTTAAAGAATCCTCTACTCTTAGGATGAAATTTTCAGTTCACTTAGAAACTTTCTTTGACTTCAGTGGGGCCCTCACCCTCAAGGTTCCATCTGGATGCCCACTCCCTTGGTGTGTGAAGATGTATCACTTCCCTGGATTCAAAATGTGCACCTGCATGTGATTAAAAGATACCCTCCTCCTCTAGACTAAGCATTGACCCCACTTGGCACAGACTGGCCATCATGCTGCTCTTAGCTACCCTCACACAGTTTCAGTAGAGAGACTGACTGTTAGGCTACGTCTAGACAGCGGCGCTATTTCGGGATACTGGAAGTATCCTGAAATAGCTATTCCACATCTTTAAACACGCCCGCTATTTCGAAATATATTTCCACGAGGGTTAAGGGATTTGTCAGAATAACACTTTATTTTGAAATTACCTTGAAAGAAGCTACTCAATTTGTGTAGCACAAATTGTGTAGTATATTTTGAGGTAAAGATGCAGTGTAATCAGTCTTGGACCATCTGGCATGTGTATATATATATATGTGTGTGTGTGTGTCTCCTTCATCGACTCTTTATCATGTCATACCTTTCCCAAACCATTGCCACACATCTGTGCCTTGAAGGAAGGGCGTGTGAGACCCCAGGGCTATGTCTACACTGGCCCCTTCTTCAGAATAGCCATGCTAATTTAGAACTTTGGAATAGGGAAATGCGCGGGGGATTTAAATATCCCCCGCGGGATTTAAATAAACATGGCCGCCACTTTTTTTCCGGCTTGGGGAAAAGCCGGAAAAGAGCATCCAGACTGGGGCGATCCTCCGGAATAAAGCCCTATTCCGGAGGATCTCTTATTCCTACTTTCAAGCTTTATTCCGGAGGATCGCGCCAGTCTGGACGCTCTTTTCCGGCTTTTCCCCAAGCCAGAAAAAAAGCGGCGGCCATGTTTATTTAAATCCCGCGGGGGATATTTAAATCCCCCACGCATTTCCCTATTCCAAAGTTCTAAATTAGCATGGCTATTCCGAAGAAGGGGCCAGTGTAGACGTAGCCCAGGTGTGTTTAGATGACACAAGAAGTGAGTATTATTGCAGCTATTTTGAAACAGTGATGCTCTGGCATGGGGTTACGTGTTGCTGTCTTTGGTGGTCACTCTGAACTAAACCCTTGAAGGTATTTTGCCTCCCAGCTTCCAATAAAATCAATGGCAGTCAGAAGTCTAAATGCCTTTGAGGACCTGGGCCTGAGAGCTTGCCAGAGATCTCCTTCACTCTGAGTCCAAGCCCAACCCACTGTGCATGACAAGAAGAGCTTTGCAGCACCTCCCTCGGACTCCCTGCCTGGGAAGTTCAGCCCATAAAGGCACAGTCCCCAGCTGTCACAAGTGCTACCTGTCAGTGTAAATAGGAGTTTGCAGACGATTCACACTACTAAGAACATAGGAACGGCCAGACTGTGTGAGACCAAAGTTCCATCTTGCCCAGTGTCCTGTCTTCTGTCAGTGGCCAATGCCAGGTGCCCCGGAGGGAATGAACAGAACAGGGAATCAGCAAGTGATCCTTCCCCTGTCGCCCATTCCCAGTTTCTGACACACAGAGGCCAGCGACACCACTCCTGCCCATCCTGGCTAACAGCCGTTGATGGACCCAACCTCCATGAATTTAACTAGCTCTTTTTTGAACCCTACCATATGGCCAGTGCAATGTAGGACCTATTATGAGGACTTCAACGGGATTTAAATGGTGCACCCTTCTTGTCTGAATCCTCTGTCTAGGGTTGAATTTCACCGTCTCTACATGCAGATGTGCTAACTCGCTGGCTGTAGGGCTGCTTATAGATGCTAGGAGTTAACAGTGCTTTGTTTGGAGCAATCAAAATGCTTGAACTTTCTTATATTTGTACTCCACCTCTATTTCTTGCCCGCTCCCCATATGGAAAGTCTCCCATTGACTATAATGGGCTGTGAACCAAACACTGGGGTGGAGGCAAAGCCAGGCAACATACTGGCATTTCCTAGAAATACTCACTTGATTTGCAAATGAATTGGCTGCTATCAGATTTGCGATACCTTTGTGTTGGCTTTCGACCAACATTCCTGCACCCAAGGATTGATTTTCACAGTTGGTGAGTAATAGACATGCCCACTGACTTCAATTCCTTTTTGTTTGCTCAGGCCCTGTTGAGTTCTGCTAGCACTTGTGATTGCAGACAGCAAATTTAAAGCTGAATGTGCAAGTAACACCGCAAAATGAACTTTAATAACCCTAGAACAGAAAGAATCCCATGTAATTTATCTGATTATTTACACCCTGCTGGAACCATGAATGTTGGCTAGTGACAGTTGATCATGATCAATTCAAAGAATAACAAAAGTTACAAAATTCTCACTGAATACCATTAAACAGTGAAGTAAATTGTGATTTGCTGCTCTGGATATTGGAGAACAAGTTCCCCCATAGCTAGGGTATTGCACTGGGACTCTGGAGACATGTTCCTGGCTCCGCCATTGAATTATATGACATTGGGCAAGTCACTGTATGCCACAGTTCACCCATTGGAAAAATCATGATTATAACTCATACGTCCCTGGGTGCTTTTAGATTTTGCAGCAAAAAAGAACATCAGAGTGGCCATACTAGGTCAGACCTATGATCCACCTTGCCCAGGGACCCGTCTTCCAACAGTGGCCAATGCCAGGTGCTTCAGAAGAAATGAAAAGAACAGACAATTGTTGAGTGAACCACCCTATTGTTAGTTCAACTCAAGTTTACAGAAGGGGAGAGCATTGAAGCACGTGCTTATTATACTGGCTACGCAGGCAGGTGGAGGAACATGCATCCAGTGCCGTCTTTGGCCAAAGCAGCCTTGACACTTTCCCCTTCAACATATTTTTATTCTATATCTTTTCTTACAGAAGTGTCAGACCTCTGTGCCACTGGAGACCATGACTGTCAGCAGATCTGTGTCAGCACACCCGGCTCATACACCTGTGCTTGCAAAGAAGGCTTCACATTGAACAATGATGGGAAAACTTGTAGCGGTAAATACCATTTGTCCCCCCTGAGCTGAATATGGCTATGCAGTGATATGGCAGGGGACTGGGGAGTTTTGCTGGTGAGCTGTCCCAGGCGTGCCCTGCTCAGAAAAGAAGATGCTAAAAGCAGAGTGAAATAGGGGGGCCTTCAATTCCATGGGTAGCTCTCCCCTAAGAAAAACACTTTCCTGGAAGGCCCCCAACCACCTTCAGGCAGAGGTAGATAAAACACAAGCTCCGTCGATCAGTGGGTCTGAGCCCCAGAAGAGCCCCAGGCCCAAATGAAGACACAGATCCAGAGGGGGCGCTGGGAGGAACAGGAGGTGGATGCTTCAATAGGGCTCGATTGCCTCATCTCTGAAGTTAGCCAGCTGCTGTGCTGTGCACGGAGTCTGAGGCACGATCTGAGGCACCATGCAGGATCGGGAAACAAGAGGGGTAAGCAGCAGGAGGATGTGACACGCACTGAGGCAACAAAGTCCCAACAGGAAGAGGCTTAGCAGCACTTCCTACTCCTTTATCTGAGGAAGAGAATGCCCATCCCAGCCAGCCTTGCTGGTGGCATTGGACAGAAACAGCACAAACTATCCCAATGAAATTCAAATGGGATTTGGGGGCATACATCCTTTGGGCAACTTTGAAGACACTACCATATGGACAGTGTCTCTCAGGACTTCTGCCATGCCCTGCAGTGTGCCTACCAGAGGCTCCTGAACTGTCTTGCCTGTACAGTCCCCTTCCATCTCCTGCCACTCCACACCTACCCCAGCCCATGCCAGGTTGACCAAGGTGAGGTGCGTAAAATTATCTGCCAATGCAAGTAAGAAGAGAACCACTGGGTCAGCTTCCTGTTGGAGCCAAAGTGACCAACACCAGTTATATGACAGCAGATTACAGCCAGTCAGTCAACAAAAGGGATTAACCATCACTCACTGTGTCAGTGTCCAATGACTTCATGGCTCTGAGATTTCCGGTGTGTGCTCTGTTTAGTGATCCCTGTTAATCCACAGACAGGTCACTGCCAGTCGGAACAAGAGGCACACTGAGTCTGACGTGAACTCACTCAAGTGAAACAAAAACTGAGTTGGTGGCAGAACTGAAGAATGAACCCAGAGCTGAAACCCACCCTTGTAAACATTCATGCTGCTGGACACACGAAGGGAAAGAATATGGCTCCAGAAATTATGCTTCTTCCTGCCTCTGTAATCGCTCTCTAATCACTCCCTCACAAACAGTGCATTTTATGAGTTGAGGTTTGGAATGGTCCCATGACAGCAATTCGCAGATTAGACCAATGCCCATCACACATGCTCCTACCCCATCCTTTCCCCAGTGCCCAATACACCCCCCTCCCAGCCCCTGTGGAAAGGATAAATAGCAATGGGTCCTGAGAGTGAGACAATTGCATTCTATAGCTTACTGTGGAGGTTCAACCAATTACTGTGTTGACTGTGCACAGAGATCCCAAGATGAAAGGCCCTGTGTATCCATCAATGAAAAGCTTTGCTGTTGTTGTGGGAGTTGGGCAGAATTTTTTGTCAAACCTTTTTTGTAGGAAAAATGAATTTTTGTCAAAAATGAACAAAAGTTCCTTTAAATCAATGTTTGTTATTAAAAACCAAACCAACTCCCCCAAAAAACCAGACCAATCCGCCCCCCCAAAAAAAACCCAACCAGATTTTTTCAGAACAAGTTTTTGGTTTCCAGTAAAATAATTTGGATTTGGATTTTTGAAAAGTATCAGAGGCATAGCCGTCTGAATCTTCATAAACAACTAGAAGTCCTGTGGCACCATATAGACTAAAGGTATGTCTACACTAGCCCCCTAGTTCGATCTAGGGAGGCCAATGAGGACGACCAAAATTGTAAATGAAGCACGGGATTTAAATATCCCGTGCTTCATTAGCATGTTCCCAGCCGGTCACCAATTTTAGAAATTGACTAGCCCGAAGTAACTGCCCGCGTCTACATGCGGCAGTGAAACGGGATTCCAAATTAAAGCCCTAAATCGCATTAGCTGTTATTCCTCCTGCAATGAGGTTTACCAGCTAATTCAATTTAGGGCTTTAAATAAGAATCCTGTTTCACTGCCGCGTGTAGACACGGACAGTTACTTCGGGCTAGTCAATTTCTAAAATTGGTGACCGGCTGGGAACATGCTAATGAAGCACGGGATATTTAAATCCCGTGCTTCATTTACAATTTTGGTCGTCCTCATTGGCCTCCCTAGATCGAACTAGGGGGCTAGTGTAGACATACCTTTAGTCTATATGGTGCCACAGGACTTCTAGTTGTTTATGAAGATTCCCATGAAAAGCTTATGCTCCAATAAATCTGTTAGTCTATAAGGTACCACAGGACTTCTCAATTTTTGAAAAGTTATTTTTAATTAAAAACCAAAATTTTAAATGGAAAGTTTTCACAAACTGAAAAAAATGTTTTTTAAATGAAAAATGTTCATGGGAAATTTTGAAATAATATTAAACAGTCTTGTGAAAAATAATTATCCCATTTCAAAAAGCTATTTTTTATTATTAACTTTTATTATTATATGATTACCAAGCAATGCTGCTACATTACTAGATATCACATGGTTATTAAATGCTTTAGTGGCACAATAAGATCACCAGCAGTGACATAAACTTAGTAGCCAGCCAGAACTGCGTAAGGACCTTGGTAGATATTTATCTGACTGGCGCTATTTTTGCAGGGAGGTTACATGCTTTTTGAGATTTACCATGGTGATAAATTATTATTATGAATAAAGCCATACTGGGTTTTGTTTTCTCTCTCTAATTGGAAGCTGAATTTGTCACTTTCCCCCTTTGCCCTGTTCTCGTTTCTCCTCAGCCTGCAGTGGTGGATCTGCTACTGATCTCGTTTTCCTAATTGATGGCTCCAAGAGTGTGCGGCCTGAGAACTTTGAGCTGGTGAAGAAGTTCATCAACCAGATTGTGGATTCACTGGATGTCTCCGATAAAAATGCCCACGTGGGCCTGGTCCAGTACTCCAGCTCTGTCAGACAGGAGTTCCCACTAGGACGGTACAACAACAAAAAGGACATCAAGGCAGCAGTGAAAAATATGTCCTACATGGAGAAAGGAACCATGACAGGCCAAGCACTTCAGTACCTCGTTGACAATTCTTTTTCACTCTCCAGTGGAGCAAGGCCTGGTGTCTCCAAAGTGGGCATTGTCTTCACAGATGGGCGATCACAAGACTACATCAGTGATGCTGCCAAGAAAGCCAAGGATCAAGGTAGGCTCCAGAATTCAGTGACATTGCTTTTCCTTTGGGTCAAGTACTGGTCTGTATTGGATGCTGACTGGCAGTGTCAGAAACTGATGTCCTACATTCACCAGATAACATGGGCATCAGAAAGGCAAAACCTTGGTCTATATTGCCTCAATCTCCCTTCCCCCATGTGCTTCAGTGCTGACTTAGAGGGCCCCTTATATGGTCAAGAGGGATTTTCAAAGGAACTTTGGCTTTCAGTGGGAACTGGGCAGCTAATTTCCACAATCTCTTTGTAAGCCTCCTCCTCTATCTCTATTCTAAGTCAGTTGTGGAAGCAGGAAACGGGGATAAGGGGATTTTTATGCAGCCATCTTAATCTTGTTAGCAAGAGAGCAAGAGTCAGGCTAATTGTGATTCTTGACAATGCGAGAGCTGTAGTAAGACGCTGCCTTCGCCTCTCGCTCCATACGGAGATAAGGACGGAAAGCTGACTCCAGTGAGAACCTTGAAGATAAGGTAGCATCTGGGAGGAACTAAGAGATAATTGTCTAGCCATTGTTGCCTAGTATTTAAGCTGCTTCATAACTGTTTGTATTTCGAAGATCTGCCTGGGAGGGTCCCCCCCCTGTGGGAGGGTCCCCCCCCTCATCCAAATCAGGCTTCTTTTGCAATATTGTTCAAATAAACTGCCTCTGGCTACTTGTTGCATACAAACGCAGAGTGAAGGCTTGTTTTCTTCCACACCGTCGGTGGCCTCTTTCTGCAGCTATCAGCAAAGTAGCCATTTGGCACCCACATGACAGAGGTGATGAACCCTTTTCGGTGATGAACTCTTCCCTCTCTTGCTATCAGGACTCCGTGCTGGTGCACAGTTAAACTAAGCTCTGCAGGCTACACCCTTCCTTGGCATAAGTCTGAGTACCTGTGATAACGTCATGGGGCATATTGGTGGACATGCTGATGTGAGGGTGTGACTCTGTGCATCTGTTGGGAAAGGAATTTGCTGCAGAGCTAGCTAACCTCCATTTCATGGGGAGGATGGAAATTCTGTGGTTTGGCCTTTACTCCAAGGGCATCATATCGCTAGACATGTGAGCAATCCTCTGCAGCGATGGCCTTTCATATGTTGGCTTGTTAGATTGGTTGGGTTTCCTGGTGTCTCGTGACGATCCCACTTCCTCACCTATTCTGTTCTCACCCAGTGATGGCTCTGGGGGCGAGGACACACTCTGCTTAGTGCCCTAAACCAACTTTCAGCCCCCCTCATTCCCGAGGATGCACAAAGTTCATGGAGGAGAGGGACCAGCAATGGCCATTAGCTTAGCTGATGAGGGGATGCGATCCCATGCTGTGGGTGTCCTGGGTTTCCAATGGCCAGAAGCTGGGACTGGACGACAGTGGATTGGTAACTCAGAATTGCCCTGCTCTGCCCATTCCCTCTGAGTCATCTGGCACTGACCTTGTGTCAAAGACAGAATGCTGGGTTAGCTGAACCATTGGGCTACATCTACACTGGCCCCTTTTCCGAAAGGGGCATGCTAATTTTACAGGTCGTAATAGGGAAATCCGCGGGGGATTTAAATATCCCCCACAGCATTTAAATAAAAATGTCCGCCGCTTTTTTCCGGCTTTTAGAAAAGCCGGAAAAGAGCGTCTACACTGGCCCCGATCCTCCGGAAAAAAGCCCTTTTCCGGAGGAATCCTCCGGAAAAGGGCTTTTTTCCGGAGGATCGGGGCCAGTGTAGACGCTCTTTTCCGGCTTTTCTAAAAGCCGGAAAAAAGCGGCGGACATTTTTATTTATATGCCGCGGGGGATATTTAAATCCCCCGCGGATTTCCCTATTACGACCTGTAAAATTAGCATGCCCCTTTCAGAAAAGGGGCCAGTGTAGATGTAGCCTTGGTGTGACCCACTATAGCCAATGGGCATGAAAAGGAAACCACAGGAAATGTCTTAAGTACGGCAGCATTGACAACTCAGATTTTTTTTAAAGTATCAGAGATACCACACCAGAGATTAAGTAGCACAGTGTCCTAGATGCCTGCATAAAGGAGGAGTAAGGCCTAGGGAAGGTCTTCCTACCCCATAGCGTCCCCTCACAAGACCCAGCTGTCCAATCACCGACCAATGGGTGAAATTCACATCTGCACAAGGAACAAGCACCCTCAAAAAAGGGCCTTAAATGGCACTTGAGGGATGCACAGACCTTATGCTGGCCCTTCTCACATGAATTTCATCCACCTGTGCACCATGCCAATACCCATTAGAGACCAGACAATAACAGCTCCTCAGGAACATAGAAGGGAGGTGAGCAGAGGACACATTACAGCTGCCAGCTTCCATTGGAAAGATACTTTAAAGGCCTTGAAACATAAATCTCTTGTGAGCTGCCCCCTTTTACTGAACTCTTGCTGCTCCAGTTCCTTGTATCCCTTTATTGTGGCCCTTGGGGATATGCTGATGAGTTGTTAATGCCCTTGGGGATATGCTGATGAGTTGTTAATGCTTCACCTCTTTTAATCTTTGGTCTCAAACATGGGACCTGAGTGAGGGCTGGTGCCTAATAATACAGATCCAGTAAGACAGCATGATAACTGGCACTAGCGAAGCATGTTGGCAGGATTTGTGGGATGCTGGCACAGAGTGTGTTTGGCGGGTATATATAAATCTCACCAAAACAATGTATCTTACAGGCCCCAAATTCTATTTTATCATCACTATCTGTTGCTTTGTTTGTTTTTTCTTTTACCAACTGTCGAGTGATCATGTTTCTTATTCGGAAAATGCAACAGCTGCTTGTTGTGGTACTCTGAAAGGATTCCAGGAGATGCTCTATTTAGATGCCCTATTGAAAATTTAAATATTGAGTTTGATTTAATCCAAAGGAACTAAGGAAACACAGCTGGGGAATGTTAGCAATGCTTGAATCTATATATGTTTGGAGTTCAGGCCAGTGTCCCAGGGGATAAATCTTGGCCCTATTGAAGTCAATGGCAAAACTCCCATTAAAGTACCGCTGGTCAAAACTAGTTTTCCATGCCTGCAAAACTTTTGAGATTTCATAAAAATTGCCCCTCTCCAAAACTGGAACAAAAATCAAACAAAATTGAAATTTTTTTGAGATAAAAAACTCAATTTGGATCAATGAAAACATGTTTCTATTTTAACCTTTTAAATATTTGACTATTGCTTTTTTCTATCATTAGTTTAAATGTCAAAATCAAAAGTAATTTTGAACAAGAAAACCTGAATTTTTCATTTTGAAAAAAGTTGAAATGAAACTTTTCAGCAATTTCAAACCTTTGTCCCCTTCAGTTTTGTTTGTCAGTTGCAAAATTGAAATGGACACTTTGTGAGTTTCACTTTTGATGAATTGGGATTTTCTGACACTTTCCTGAGTAGCTTCAATTACTCCAGCATTTGGTCTGCTTTTCAGTGGGTGACTTGCCCCTCAGAAGTGCTGAGAACATAGCAAGTGGCTCTGGGTCCTGTTTTAGAAACAACATCTCTCTTCCTGTTGGGTACCTCTTAAGCCCTGGGTTCGTAGCCTGGGTCATGTCCTCTGTGGGGGGCATGAACAGGACTGAAAGGAATTATCACTGCGTTCCCATCTGGAAAAGGCTGAAAAAGGCTGAGACATAGTCCTGTGACTCTCAACTTGTGGGACCTAAGCCACAGCGTTACACCTCTGCCTCAGCAAGAGAGGGAATTGCTGGAATTTAAACTGCGTGCCAGCTCCCTGACATACCAGTGTATCTTCCTTACCAACAAATGCCCAGGGCCGTATTAATGCAGGGGCTTTAAGGGCTGCAGGCCAAGACCCTGGGCTAAAGGTGTGTGTGTGGAGGAGGGGGCTCTGCAAAAAGATCCCCAGACCACCAAGAGTCCAGATCTTTATGCAAGGCCCCCTTATCCTGGGACTCTGGGCTGCAGCCACTAAACCCCCTGCATTCTGGCCCTCCTAGGCAGGGTGGGGAAAGCAGCACTGTGCTCTGCTATCCCTCCTGTTGGGCTGGAGCTGGGTCACATGGAAAGTGGAAAGTTGGGTCACCATCCCTATGCTGCTCTTGCCTGAGGCTCCACCCCCACAGCTCCCATTGGCCAGGAATTCTAGCCAATGGGAGCTGCTGGGATGGTAACAGCAGGTGAGCACAGAGAAGCGTGGACCATGTTGAGCCACCTGCTTCCCCGGCAAGGGGAGCTGCCCCAAGAAAGCACCCTACACCCCATGCACCCTAGCCCCATTCCATCACCCTAATTCATAACCAGACCCCACCTCCCCACCCCAACCTCTTTCCTGAGCCCCCTGCCACACTCCAAACCACTCCTTCCTGCACCACACACACCTCAACCCCACTCCAGAGTCTGCACCACCACTCGGAGCCCTCACCTCTCCTGCACCCATCCTCCTGCCTCTACTCACAGATCCCTCCCACAATTTGGACCCCTCATTTTTGGCCCCATCCCAGAGAGTAGGAAGCTCCACAAAATCTAATAGCCCTGGGCCCCCAGAAGAGTTAATCTGGTCCTGCAAATGCCTCTACATTTTCCCCTACAAATAATATTCTGTGAACTCCAGTTTTCAAGTTCCTCCAGGGTATGTCTACACTACAATGTTAGTTCGAACTAACTGACGTTAGTTCAAACTAACATTCATAGCCGCTACACTAGCGCTCCGCTAGTTCGATTAAAATTCGAACTAGCGGAGCGCTTAGTTCGAACTAGGAAAACCTCATTTTACGAGGCTTAAGCCTAGTTCGAACTTACTAGTTCGAATTAAGGGGAGTGTAGCCCCTTAATTCGAACTAGTAAGTTCGAACTAGGCTTAAGCCTCGTAAAATGAGGTTTTCCTAGTTCGAACTAAGCGCTCCGCTAGTTCGATTAAAATTCGAACTAGCGGAGCGCTTAGTTCGAACTAGGAAAACCTCATTTTACGAGGCTTAAGCCTAGTTCGAACTTACTAGTTCGAATTAAGGGGAGTGTAGCCCCTTAATTCGAACTAGTAAGTTCGAACTAGGCT